GGGCGGCGGGCAGCCCCGCGCCGTCGTCGGCGCCCGGGGCCGGGCAGGAGGCCGCGCAGGAGGGCGCGCAGGCCGGCCGCGTGAAGCGCGGCTGGGTGTGGAACCAGTTCTTCGTGGTGGAGGAGTACACCGGCACGGAGCCCCTGTACGTGGGCAAGGTAAAGTGGGGCCCGCCCGGCCCTCCCTACGCCCTCAGCACCCCTCCTTTCAGGGTGGCCCGCCTGGGCACCGCCGGGTCATGAAGCCCCCTTCTCCACCGCCCCAGCAACGGCTCTCAGCCCTGTCCCTCCGTCATCCCGTCATCCCGGAGGAGAGAGAACAGTGAGGGGTAAAGCCAGCCCATCTGCCCCCGGTGCCAGGGGAATTTAGAAACAAGTTTGCAGATGGCCTCATGTCACAGGCTTGCTCCGGTCACTTGGCCTAAAAGGCTTCCATGGCTTCCATCCTCCTGGGGTCAGCCCAAGTTCCGTCCATTGACTATAGAGATCCCTTCTCCTGCAGCCCCCTCCTGCCACTCCAGGGTCTGGGGCCCTCTGAAAGCCCCCACCACCGCCCTGGCTCCCTCCAGCCACACCCCACTGCTCCTTGCTGTCCTCCTCCAGAGCCCCTCCTGCAAGATGCCCCCCTGACCAGCCAGCCCAGGCCAGGTCCTCACTCCCTGCCTTTCAAGGTCCCTGTGTCTCTCCTCATCCCACTTTAATTATGCATGTGTTTGCTTGATTGTGCAATTAATGTGTTTCTTTCCTATCAAGCCATGTTTGTTTTGCTCACCTTTAGATCCCCAGTGCACAGACATTAGCTCACCAACTGCTCATTAAAGGAATGAATGAATGAAGCTACCTTCCCGCGCGCGCCCTGGGTGTGCTTGCGCCTCTGGCTGAAGGTCTGTGCCCTGGGAATGTAAAGGACTGAGAAGGACTGTCATTCATTCAGTCAGTCCTCCTGGGGCTCGGGTGTGATGTCGGGGAGGCAAAGGTGCGTAAGATCCCATCTCTGCCATTTGGGGCTCCCCAAATTGACGGCGACACCCTGGTAGATAAAAAGTCTCACGAGCCAGCACCCGGCACTGATTAGGCACTCATAAATGGTCTCCATTGCCTGGGTTTTGTGGTATGAGTAGGAGTTCCGCAGGTTGATGGGGAAGAGGGTGGAGCCTTCGAGGCCTGAGGGAGCCTGGCCCGTTCAGCCATGGGTCTGCAGTGAGGTGTTGAAGTGACAGGTGGCTGTGACTGCAGGGGGGAAGCAGGCAGTGCCCAGGGACAGTTCTCTGGCTTTTGTGAAGACCAGGTGGCCTCCCAGGAAGTAGTGGTGGCCAGGACTGAGGTTTCCAGGTGGGGCATTTCTAAGGCTCAGGAGTCAGCTCTTTGACAGACGCAGGAGAGTCTCGGGTCAGCCTGCAGGTCTGCCTCCGGGAAAGCTAGCTCTGCTCTGGGTCTAGACACCCTTGTCCCCGTCCTCGGCCCCTTTCCTCTCCCACCTGTGGCTGCAGTTGACCCTCAACTTGGAGCTGAGAGCTTCAGCAGGTCCCCGCCTGCTGCTCAAGATCACCCAGCAGCCGAGGGACAGAGCCCGGGACTGTGGACCCCCTCCAGGGCCGGGGCAGGGAGGGAGGGGCCTGTGCCCACTGCAAGCCAGGCGAGCGCCCAGATCACGGGCTTCGGGGGCAGACACCCCTGGCGGAGGCTGGGTTCTGCCGTCCCATTCCTGTGTGACCTTGAGCAAGTTACTGCGCCTCGCTGAGACTGTCTCTCCCTCTGTGGAAGGGGGGCTCCGGGCGTCACCTCCTGAGGTTGCTGAGGATGTAAAGAGACCTGAGCGAGAGAGCGCTGAGCCTCGGGCTGGCTTGGGTCGTCATCATTATTTTTTAATATTCACCTACAAAGCACTGAACCCTTGAGCTGCAGGTGGGAGTCGGTACTCCCTTTGGAGGCCAGGAAGCTGAGGGCAGGGGCCGGAGCCACGCAGCAGGCAAGTGGCCCTCCAGCATCTGCAGCTGCCTGAGCTGGGGTTTCCGAGTCGCAGGTGAGGAGCAGCCACCCGCGGCCTGACTGTCCAGACCTGGCCAAGACCTCCAGGCCTGGCCAAAGGCCTGCGGTCCAGGGAGACCCCAGAGAGACTGGAAAGGACCTCACGCACCTGCCCAAATGTCAGAGGAGGGGGCCGCGTCTGCAAGGTGCCTCCCCCACGTCCTGAATGAATGAGAGACCCGCTGCCCGCCCCTGGCCTGTAGCCTCTCAGCAGCACGAACGAGTCTGCTGACCGCGGAGGGAGGGTCACATAAGAGGGAAAACCAAGGCTCCGGGCTGGGGCGCCTCATGCCAAGGCCACACAGCAACATGGCCGCAGAATCAACCATAAACAGGTGCCCTGACCCCCCCTCCTCCCCACTCCGTTTCCAGCCCCTATTAAGCCGGGGCCTTGCCTCTTCTTAGCACAACCTCTGCTGTCCCCACCGCTGTCCCCACTGCTGTCCCCACTGCTGTCCCCACTGCTGTCCCCACTGCTGTCCGGCCCCTCCTCCTCCTCTTCCCCCTGTAGCCCCATTCTCCAGGCTAAGGCCACTTCCAGGCGCTCACACCAGGGTGCACCTTCCCATGCCCTGAGCAGCCTGGGGTTGGCCGGGGGCTGATGGCTCCACCCCAGGCCCAGGCCCCAGCTCTGCTGCTCCTGATCTCTCTCTGGCCATGTGCTTAGCCTCTCTGAGCCTGAGTTTCCTTTTCTGTTGAGTGAGCCTGTTACCAAGACCTCCTCGGAGGGCGGTGGCAGGAGAACAATCAAGCGAGCACCCATCACAAACCCAGGAGAGCCCCGTCCTGCCCTGCGCTTGCTGATAGTCTTCATCCTTCAAGTCCCACCCAGATATGTCCAGCCCCATCAGCACAGCCTCCACGAACCCAACCCAAGCCCAGAGACATCTGGGCACCCGGACGTCCTAGAGTCTCACCACTAATTGCAGGAGGTGGTTATTAGCCCTCCCTCCACCTGAGGGGTGTGAACTTGGGCTTTTAAAAATCCACCTGGCCCCTTCCTGGGCAGCTGAGCTCAGGTGCGTACAAGGGCCCGTGTGTGCACACGTGTGCACCACGCACACTCTTGCCGTGTGCTCCTCGCTCTTCAGGAGAAAGGACTTCTCCATGGTTTCAGTGAATTCACTGTTTCCTGTCCCCCCACCCCAGGGAGCCGCTCCGAGCACCGTCCTTGTTGAATTCCAAAGGTAGCTTAGCAACAGAGCCCTGCGGAGTGAACCCGGCCCAACGGCAACCTATTTTACAGACGCCTCCTCCATCCATCAGTCACCAGCCGGCTCCTGTCGGCACCCACAGGAGCCGCCGGCCCTCGGTGGTGATTGTCACGGAGGCCGCAAACAGCCCCCTCCCAAGCCCTGCCCCCCACTCACCTGCTCGCAAGACCACCCCCAGCAACCTGGCAGCATGCCCACAAAGCCCGGGCTCACACTAATCCCCTTCCAAACTGTAATTTCCCCGGAGGCTTCTGTTAGCTGCATGTGGATTTTGTAGGATTTTTAATTTTTTGAAAAAGATAGAATTATGGGGTCAGCACTTATGACCAACTCCTGTGGGCGGCGAGATCTATTTTAGATATACGGCAGGATTAAAGTGGGGAGGAGAACAGGTTTAATTAAGTTGCTAATATTTAAGGAAAATTGATGGACTCCCGGTTTACGAGGAGCACCCCTGTGAGCAGACCCCCACGATCCGGGAGGCATTTTATGTGATTTGCTTTCCGTTTAAGTCCCGGACTCGTTTTATTTGCGTAGCCGCACTGTCCGTTTAATTGTCTTTAATAAGGAAAACGTACCTCTGCTCGCATTTAATTTTGATTTAATTAGGAGGAAGTAATTAATGGCCTCGTAAATCCCATGTTTCAGCCCCCCTGGGATAGGAAACCATCACTCTTGTGTTTTTCCTGGTGTTTATGATGGAAGGCCGCCCTGGGGGGATTTCTCCTCTGGGGCCGGCCTTGCTGGATGCACTGTTGAGAATCCTGGGTGCGCTGTCAGATGGCCTCAGGCTGCCTTTAACAAAAGCTGTGTGGCTTGAGGTAAGATTTGGACCCTCTCTGGGCTTCAGTTTGCCCATCTGTATAATGGGGAGAGAATAGTCTCTGACTCACAGAATCATTATGAGACATCCCTGGGATGATGGTAGGGTCTGGGACTGTGCCTGGATCATAACAGGTGTCCAGTAACTGTCCTTCCTGGTCTAGATCCAGTGTGCCTGGACTGAACAGTGACTGGGTCCTCCCGAGGTCAGCTGTGTGTCATTTCTCGTTTATCCCACGGGTTGCCCTGCGCTGGGAGACGGGAAGAGCCATGTGCCCTGCTGTCAAGGAGCCTGCAGTCTCACACTGATCTGTGCACACACACAGGTGTACAAGTACACTCACACACACACACACACTCAACCCGCCCATGCCCCTGGGTTTCTCTGCTGTCATTGCCAAGGTCCTGGTAGATGCCGGGTGTGGGGAGCTCAAACACAGAGGAATGGAAATCAGACCATGCCCCCGACGGCAGCTGGGGACAGAAGTACACAGAGATGTCCCAGGGAGAGTGGAACAGAGAGGCGTGTGCATGGGAGTGCAGGGCACTCGGGAGGGCTGCCTGGAGTAGGAGGTGCCAAGCCTGAGAGGCAAGAAGGTATTGGGGAAGAGCCAGGTGCCCAGAGAGCCAGGCTGGGAGTCCATGTTCCGTGTCAGGAGATGGGGAGGACAAAGTGGAAGGGGAAGGGGACTCTGATCTGCATTGAGCACCTACTATGTGCCAGAAGCTTCCGTGTACTATCTTACGAATGTTAGAATGTGTGGGGAAGCCACACCAGCCTTATTACATTTGACAGACTGAGGTTCAGAGAAGGGCGGCCACCGCCCCAGCGCCACATGGCCAGTCAGTGGCCAAGCGAAAGCCAGCTCACAGCTCCTGGCTCCAGAGCCCGTGAGCCTCCCTGACTTGTGATTCGAGGTCCTTTTCCAATCGGAGGAGTGGAGGTCACAGAGAAGAGGCCACCGATGACCGGGCCTGCTGGGTGCAAGGCCACCCCCCAGCCCCCAGCCCCCCGCCTTCCCCTCCCCCTTCCTCCTCTGCTGCAGACGGTAAGCAGCTCACGGGATTCCCGAGGCTGCAGAGGGGTGACGGCCCTTGGGGGTCAGACAGACCCAGGCCCACCTCAGACTCTCCACCTGGAGACGGGGATGCGTTTCACACTTCCCAAAGTCAACTTCAGTTTTCGCGGACCGCCTGAGGCAGGTCTACACACAGTAGGTGCTCAGTAAGTGACAGCGCCATCTTCCACCCTCTACTCAGAGCTGAGGGTCGAGGGCAGAGTCAGATGCTCCCTTTCTGCTCTGGAACCAGGATCCCGCCCCTCCCACATCCACAACTCCAAACTCTTAGCTCCTACCCGTGCCGTGGGCCCTGCTGACTCCCCAGAGAGCAGCCACGGCCCGGCCCGAGCTCCGTGTCACCCTTCACAGAAGAACATCGATGACGTCACCTCTGGGTTCCACTCCCTCCTCCCGGCTCCTCCCTGATCAGTGATTCCTGTCCAAGGTCTGAGTTACAATGTCCAGGCTCCAGGCGGCGGAGGGAAGGCCACTTGCAGAGAGCTTGGGTCATCGCCAGCAGGCTCTCCGTTGATCCCCACCAACCTGTGCCGGGGGGGGGCGGGGGGGCTCCATCTGATTTCTGAGGTGGGAAAACAGAGCTCGGAGAGGGGAAGTGACCAAGTCCCCGGCCATGACATCGGTGAGCCGCAGAGCTGGGCGCCCGGCTTCCCACACCGAGCCCCGTGGGGAGCGGACTTTCCCTCTCCGTCTTGGTTTCCTCATCTGAGAAAGGGGACGAGGAATGTGTCCCTTCACTGTCCCCACGAGGCACGGAGGCCGCCTCGGTGCTCAGAAACGTTCGCTGATTCAATCAGCAGATAACGGGGGAAGGGGGAAGGTACCCCAAGAGGGAAAAAGCCCACCCCTACCGCTGCATGTCCCCGGGCAAGGGGGCAAGAAGAGCCACCGGGAGACAGGACTCGTCCCGCCTGGGCAGTGCCAATGATTCAGGGCCCACGTCCTGAGATGATTTTATTGGGGGCATTAAACTGAGTTATGAGGTTTTTACAATCCAGCCACTTATGAGAAATCTATTAACAGTAACTGGACAGGAAGAAGGCTTCTCGGCGGAGCCCAGGACGGGCATTAATTGGGGCAATCTATAACAGGATGGGGACCCGGAAAGGTTCCACCCGACGCCTCCATTTACTCCCCGCAATTTCTGCTGAGAATCAGCAGACTCGCCAAAAAGAGAGAGATGCCCATTAATCGGCTAATGAAATATGAAAATGTTTATGGGCCATTCAATCTTCCAAATGGCACTTCTATAATCCACCTTTCAGACACCACGTTCTACCAGCAGAATTTACACCCGGGCTCCTCCCTCCCTCTCCCTGACGGGATGGATTCATTGGCTCCCGTCTCCCTGCCGAGGGGGCCGGGTCCACGGCAGCCCACGCTGAAAGGGACTTCAGGGACCGTCTCGTTCATTACCCCACCTCCACGGACGCCTAGAGGGAGCGAGGACCCGTCCAAAGTCCCCGGCTTCCTGAGATGGATCCCCCTGCTCAGGGCTGCCTGGGAGGTTTGGGCACTGGAGGGTGGAGTCTTGGGTGTTTCTCTTTGCGAGAAGACAGACTTGCTGGCTCCTCCCCCAGGAGATCTCCGTGCTTTAAAAGGCGCCTGAGCTCTGGAGCCTAGCAGGACGGAGCCAGTTACCCACAGAGATGGTTTGGTGATCATATCCTAGTCACGCCAGCTGTCATTTATTGGACACTTACTATGATCTTCAGCTGGCACAGACAGGTCTAGTGGTACCAGTGGTTACCATGGCGCAAACCCTCCACACCCACGGCCAGTAGCCCACCTCCTCCCCCACCCCTGCTCTCTGCCCCTCAGACGTCCCCCTGTTCCGGCCACCACAGAGCTCCTGCCTGGCCCAGCAGGATTCTGCTGCAGGCCACTCCACAGGCAGGGTCCCCACCACGCCGACTGTTAGATACTGTGCATGTCGCTGGTGCTGGGCAGCTGCGAAGGGCCTCAGGGACTCTCCTCTCAGTGGACCTTCAACTCCTGCTACTTGATGGCTGGAGTTACAGATGAGGAAGCAGCCCAAGAGAACTGTGACTTGTCAGAGGACACACAGGACAATGACACGGGAGCCAAGGCGTGCCCAGGCCGCACCCCTCTTCCTTCCTGGGGGCTCCTCTGCAGAGGCTTTAGGGTGGAGCAGAAGAGCCCAGCAGGGAGTCAGGCTGCCCGTTGGTGGTCCAACATGAAGCACCTCACCCCACTTCTCCGGTCCTCAGTAGGAAAAAGTAATAATAACGAGGAGCAAGGCCGACTCTAGCAGAGTCTACTTCCCAAAGTGCTGAATGAGATGAGGGCACAGGCCTCCTGGCACCCTGCCCAGCACGCAGCAGGTGCTCCTGCGGTTGTGTCCCCTTCCCTCCCTCTCCCTTCACTCTCGTCCCCTCCATGTGCCAAGGCCCGGGACTGCTTCTCCTTGTGCTGGCTGAGAGGCATGTGATGCACGCTCACCTGAAGCCTTGGGGAGTCGGGCCCGTGACCCAGGGTGCGCTCATGCTCCAGCAGCTCGGCTGCACGTTGACATGCAAACCCAGAGGCTCTGCCCTGGACTATGGAGTCCAAAGCTTCATTTTAGTGAGATGCCCAGGTGATCAGGCTGCACAGTGAGGTCTGAGAAGCCCTGGCTACCCTGATCTTGGAAGATTGATCGTGGTAATGTAGCTTGATGTGGAGAGATCTTGGAAGTGGACAGCTCTGGCGTTGGAGCCGAGCCTTGCAGGGCCAGTGGATTTTCAGTAGGCAGAGAGATAATAAGGCTGAGGGCTCAAGGTCGGAGCCCAAGGGCTCTACAAGCTGCAAGGAAGCATCTCTGGACTTCTTTATATAGGACAGGGAGCCACGGGAGGGTTGGGAGCCAGGAAGGATGTGTTCAGACCGCCCTCTGAGGCCGAGAGCGCCGGCCCAGGGAGGGCCGGCTGCAGGTCAGGACCGCAGCAGGCGGAGCCCCAGAGGGCTGCTGAGCACCCCAGGCCTGAGACGGCTCAGATGGCTCTGGGCCACAGGGCCGAAGGTGAAGGTGCAGGTGCGTTGGAGGAGAGGTGCACAGGAATGGGCCCCCAGACCGGGGTGGGCGGCAGAGAGGGGCCCCCTCCCGCCCTCACTCCGCCCTCCTCCCGCCTCCCCAGATCCACTCGGACTCGGATGAGGGTGACGGTGCCATCAAGTACACCATCTCGGGAGAGGGCGCTGGGACCATCTTCCTGATCGACGAGCTGACGGGCGACATCCATGCCATGGAGCGCCTGGACCGGGAGCAGAAGACCTTCTACACGCTGCGGGCCCAGGCGCGGGACCGCGCCACCAACCGCCTGCTGGAGCCGGAGTCGGAGTTCATCATCAAGGTGCAGGACATCAACGACAGCGAGCCCCGCTTCCTGCACGGCCCCTACATCGGCAGTGTGGCCGAGCTCTCGCCCACAGGTGCGCCGCGGGAGCCGGGTTCCAGGGGGAGCAGGGTGACGCGTCCCCGGGTGCTGCCAGGTCCTGGGAGGGGCAGGAGGGACAGGGACTGCTGCCCGGGGCACCCGGTGCAGATGTGAGCAGGTCGGAGGGGCACACCTGTGACCTCAGCCACATCCACGCTCACAGCCTGCACACGGACTCGGTGACACACTCAGGCATACGCTAGTCCCAGGCACAGACACAGCAGCACACCCGGGTGCCACCCAGCCCCACGCACGAGCTCAGCTGTCCCCCTGTGAGGAGCCCGCTCCCAGGCTGCCCCCGCACAGGCAGCATAGGACAGGGCCACACGCCAGCCGAGACCTGGGCCCAACTCGCAGGGAGGCTCAGCTGCAGCCAGATACAGCACAGCCCTTGGCCACAGCCCCCCGGGATGCCACCCCATCTCCAGGCACAAGTACACAGGGACACCTGCCACCCACCGCAGCCACAGCAGGTCACAGTGGACCAGGACCCAGCCACACACCCAGACTCCACCTGGCACCTGGACCTGACCACACTCGGCACCTGCGTTGGGAACAGCCCTCAGGCAGACAGAGCCTCTGGGCAGACTCCGCAGCCTACGGGACCCAGGCACAAGCCCAGGCAGCCATCGCCACGCCGGTGGCCTGTCCCCGTCCACAGGCAGGTCCCTGTCTCTGGGGGGCTGTGTGCGAGGATGTGGCAGAGGTCGTAGGTGTGGCTCTGTGCAGGGGCACAGCCCTTCCTGGGCACAGACCTCTTGGCTCACCTCCCAGGAGGTAGGTCCAACTGGCCAACAGCTGGGGACCCAGGCCCACGCAGAGAGGCCCGACACAGAACAGTGGCATGTCCCCGGGGTGGCTTCCAGCAGCCAGGGAGCTGCACACAGTCAGGTGCACAGAGAGGGCAGCAAACAGTGAAAGGCACACCTACAGGAAGACATCGGGCACAGCCAGGCTCAGAGCAGGACGCTGAGGCTGAAGTTTGGAGGACCCTGTGGGTCCCCAGACTGTTGTCTGGCCATCACAGCACCACAGAGCCCAGGCTCCTGAGGAACTGGAGTCACAGGGTGAGGGCACAGCCAGTACCTGCCGCACCCCTTCCCCAACCTCGTTAGCCACGGAGAGCCAGCTACAAGGGAACAGCACCCGGTCCCCGACAGCACTCCACGGCCGGCTCCCCACAGCCACGGGCTCCGTGCCGTCTCCGCACCTCCCTGAGGCCCGGGGTCCTGGGGTTCACAAAGCCTGGGTCAGAGGCCGGGGGTCCTGGGGTTCACAAAGCCTGGGTCAGAGGCCGGGGGTCCTTGGGTTCTTGGAGGGAGCATAATCTCTGCTCTAAGGATGAGGGGAGAGGACGGGGAACAGCAAGGGTGTGAATGGGCTGTGCGCCTCGAGGGACACGTGGGGCTGACACACACGCGCATCCCACACCTGTGTGCACATGCGTGGCCAGTGAGGGGCACTCAGGCCTGTGCACGCTCGCGACCTGCCGTGGTCTGTGGGAACAGTTCCTTCATGCGTTCGTGTAACAGATATTTGTTGAGTACCTACCGTGTGCTAGACACTGGGGACGCAGCAGTGAAAAGGCAGGCAGCATCCTGTGACCAGATCCCTGGCAGGAAGACCACGGCCACGGTTTGTCTTTCACGCTGAGCCTCTGGGGGTCCGCAGAGGCTTCATTTAGAAGAAGGACAGGATCTGGCTGAGTTTAACCGGATCTCGTGGCGGTTCTATGACGCGCAGGTGGCAAAGGCAGGAGCCCGTGGCCCCTGGAGGGGGACATTGCAGTTACCTAGCTGGGGACCCTGCGGTGCCTTGGAACAAGATGGTGGCAGTGGAGGTGCTGAAATGGGGTCGACTTGTGGGTCTGTTTTAAGGTAGAGCTACAGCGTTTGCCAGTAGATTAGGGGTGGGGGTGGGAGACAGGGAAGGGTGCTGTGGGATTCCGGCCTGAGTGGCTGAGTGGACGGTGTCCATTTCCTGAGCTGGAGGAGCAGCTGGGGGAGAAGGAGGGGGAGCCGCGTCGGTTTCCGATACGCCGAGTTCCGGGTACTCCTGAGGCAGCCGGTGGAGGGAGAGGTTTGGAGCGGCCATTGAGTAAACAGGTCCCCCAGAGCCCTGGGCTGGGAGACGCCTTTGGAAGTTGTCGGGGGCAAAGAGCCTGGCAGAACTTGGAGGTTAATTTTGTCCCTAGGGAACTGGGGCTCAGAGAGATGGAGACTTGCCCAAGGTCACCACAAGCCAGAGGCCGCTGCAGTCCCTGACTGCCCGGGTCCCCAGCCCCACCCCACCCACTGTTCCCCCGGCCTAAGAAGCCAGGTCCCGGCTGCCCGTGCTCCAGATTCACCTGCACATCTGCGCATGGAACACACCAGAAAGACAGCAGGAGGGCCGGGTCTGAGGGGCCCAGAGCTGCACCTTAGACAGCTCCCCCGCCCCCCGCAGGCTCCCGGCCTCCTCTCCGCAGCTCCAGGGCCAGGTCTGACTCACATCCCCACTGAACAGCCAGCAAGGCCAGGCCCAGGGAGGAGAGACCACCCTGGTCACAGGGCACGTCTGACCCAGCCGGTTGCTGGGCTTGGCTCCCAGACTCTGAGGGGCCAAGTCCTGGTGTCACCATGAGAAAACTCAGTCCAGAGGCCAGCGATGACTCATCCAAGGCCCACAGAGCAGGAGGCAGAGCGAGCCGTGCCCAGGCTCTGGCCCACGCCCAGCCCGCCGCGTCTCCCTGTCCCAGCTCACCACTTCCCACGGCTGGGCCGGCCACTCAATTTGGACAAGCCGGGGAACCAGGAGCAGGGAGGAGGCGGCAGAAATTAAATCAGTTTGTTTTATTTGAGCAACTTTGTGAAGGAGAAGCCAACCTGACGCTGGGAGCGCGCGGAGGCTCCAGGCAGCTTTGAAAATCAGTCACCATTACTGAGCCTCCTGATCCGGGTGGGCGGGGGCGGGCCGACAAGCAGCAGCAGGGTTGGGCAGCCTCGGAGATCAGAGGGAGCAGGGACGCAGCTTGGGACATGAAAGGCAGCAGTGCTCGCAAATTAAACCACTCAGACTTTAAAAGGGAAGGGAAGTGTGCCGGGGGCCCAGAGCCGCGCTCCTGGGGAGGGGCACCCGCCACGCTGGGCCTGGTGCAGCCAGCAGATCCTGGAGTGGAGGGCCAGCCGCCAGTGTCCGTGGCCGCTCCCTGTCCTCCTCTGGGCCAGCTACCCTTCTGAGCATTAAAGGGGGTCGTTCATATCATTCACAGGTGTTTATTGAGGGCCTACTATGTGCCAGGCACTGCAGGCTCTGGGGCTCTGAGGTCCACACACTGGAGCAGAGACAGGAAAGAAACGCCTAAGCCACGAGTGCAGGAAGCAGAACAGGGAGCAGGCAGGGATCTGGGGGGCCATGTTGTGGGTAGAAGGGTCAGGGACATTCTAAGTGGACACTCGATCATAGGCTCGAGGAAGAGAACCTGGGAAAAGCTCTGGGGAATGGTGGTTTCCAGACCCCACCGTGCTCCCCCGTTACCTGTAGAGCTCATGAAAGCACCGATGGCCACCCCCACCCCCACCCCGGGTTCATTTGTCTGTCTCTGTGGTGCCGGGACGGAACCCGGGCCCTGAGCAGGCTAGGTAAGGGCTCCAACGCTGACCTAGGCCCCCAGCTCCCGCCACTCCAGGGTCTCTGATTCAGTGGGTCGGGAACTTTTGAAATGGTGACCAATGCCCAGGTGATGCTGCTGGTTTGGGGACCGCGCTTGGAGAACCACTAACTTAGAAGAATGTTCAGGGCACAGGGAACAGAAGGTGCCAAGGTCCTGAGGCACAGTGTGTTGGTCATACCTGAGGGATAGCAAGGACATCAGTGTGGCTGAAGAAGAGTACGTCTGGTACCTCAGAGGAAGGACCAGAGAAGCTGGGTCACGCAAGACCAGGAGCTGTGGAAGGCTTTCAGTTGTACTCGGAGTGATACAGGGAGCCGGACGGTGAGGCCAGCCAACTTATTTTTTTTTTAAAGAATGACTGGGCTGTGGTGGTGAAAACAGACTGTAGGGGGCGGACGGGGGAGGAGGGAGGGGACGTGGGGAGAAGCTGCCTGCGCAGGCGCCAGGTGCGGTGGCAGGGGTGGGTGTAGGTGTGAGGAGAGGTGGGACTCAGGCGTGGAAGGGGTCTGCGGGGACTGTAGGGTGGGAGGCCCGGAGACCGGCAGGTGCTGCAGTTCTGACCCCCAGAGCTGGATGGAGCTGGAGCCGCTGTGACTGAGACAGAGACTGAGACTCAGCGCTCCAGCAAGGACAAGTTTGCAAAATAAATTAAGAATTCATCCTTGGACGTGTCCAGATTGAGACATCCCCTGGAAGTCCAAGTGGCAATGTCAAGGGGACAGGTGGACCTAGGGGCCTGAGCCTCGGCAGCGCGAAGGGGCTAGAGACTCCACTCGGGGAGCCATCAGCGGAGAGGGAGGCTGGATGAAATCCACAGGGGAGTGAGCTTAATAAAGAGGAACTGGACGGGTGATCTCTCCCTGTAGGGTCCGGGACCCCTGTCCTAGAGTGGACAGAAAGGATCCCGTAGGGTCTACACTCAGTCCAACTCCACCTGCTTACTAATGCACCTGTGTACCAGACACTGTACTTGGCACTACTAGAACACAGAAATGAGAAACCCAGTACAACCACTACATTTTTTTCTGGGCAATGCAGGGGATGTAAAGAGAAGTAATATAATTAAATCCACAAATGTTTATTAAACCCATTAGATCACAAGTCCTTGGTTTTGTAGAGCTTGCAAGATGAGTCACCCAACTCAGCCAACATGGACGAGCACCTGCTTTGTACTTAGACCCAGCGAGGATAGAAAAAGAAGTAGTTGCTTTCCATTCAGTAAACACTTATTAGTGCCTACTATACGTACACAGCCCTTTGCTAGGTAAGAGCGGATGCCCAGGTGAGCAAGACACTGCCCCTGACCTCAGACAAGTGGCAGGTGCATTCCATCTCCTGCACCA